ATATGTCTGAAGTTTTCTTGTGGCTCTGTGTTTACCATTAAGAATGTGAGGCATGTCCCTGATTTGTGTCATAACTTGTTATTTGTTGCTGCTTTGGAGAGTAGTGGTTTACAGGGAAAGTGGGGGAATGGTTGCATGAAAATCTTGAAAAATTCTCTTGTGTTGTTTAAAGTTGAGAAGGTGAATAACCTTTATGTGTGTCATGCTAAACCTTTTGCTGATTCTGTGAATGTTGTATGTTCTGATAAGACCTCTTTGTGGCATAATAGGCTAGGACATATGAGCAATAAGGGTTTAGATGTCATGCGTAGGGCTGGTCATTTTGGTAAGGACTATGTGACTTTTGTGCCTTTCTGTGAATCATGTGTGTTAGGCAAGCAGCATAGAGTCAGCTTCCCTCCTTCCTCTTACCCTAATCTGTCTAAGTGTTCGTCTGTGCTTGAATATGTTCATGCCGATGTTTGGGGTCCTGCCAGTGTTCCTACCCACGGGGGTAGGAAATATTTCCTTTCTATTATTGATGACTTTTCTAAGAAGGTGTGGGTTTGCCTTTTAGAACACAAGTCTGATGTGTTTGTGAAGTTTAGGGAGTGGAAAACCCTAGTTGAAAACCAAACTGGAAGGAAGGTTAAAACCCTTAAGACCGATAACGGGTTAGAGTTCTATAATAAGGAGATGGATAAGTTGTGGGATAAAAAGGCACAAAACTATGCCTTATACTCCCCAACAGGATGGGATAGCAGAGAGAATGAATAGGTCTCTGTTGGATAAGGTTAGAAGCATGTTAGCTACCTCTGGTTTGTCTAAGAAATTCTGGGGTGAAGCAGTTACTACTACTGCCTATTTGGTTAATAGGTCCTCGTTTGTCCCTCTTGGTGGTAAGTGTCCTGAAACCATCTTTACTGGTAAGCCTCTTGATCTGTCTAACCTTCGGGTGTTTGGTTGTGCAGCGTATGCACATCAACAGGGTGAGAAGTTGGATCCAGGGTCTAAGAAATGTGTCTTCCTAGGTTATCCAGGGGGGTAAAGGGTTACAGGTTATGGGATAGGAACCAGGTAGGCTTTAAGGTGGTCCTTAGCAGAAATGTGGTGTTTATTGAAACTGATTTTCCTTGCTTGACCGAGTCTGTTTCTAATCCTGAGTCTAGGTCTGATAGTACTCCTAGTGAGGTGGAGTCTGTCCCTGTTGCTGCTAGTCTTTTATCTTTTGATCCTGTTATTAGTGATGATATTGTTATGTATGATTCTGATTCCTCTGAGCATGATAGTCCCACCACCTCGAGTGAGGTGGAGCATTCCATGTTACTGAGCATGATTTGCATGATATGGGTGCTGAATCTGATTTTCATGATAACAATAATTTACATGAGTTGCATGTGGAGCCTAGTAGTGATGATTTGCATAATTATCAACTTGCTAGAGATAGGAGTAGAAGGGTCATCAGGAGAACTGCTGATAGTATGCCTGATTATGCTTTCATTGTGCATGCTACTTCTATGTTTGCATTTTCTGTGTTTGAATCCCTAGAGCTGAATGAACCCAAGACCTACCGTGAAACCTTAGGTTCCAAAGAGTCTCAGAAATGGATTAGTGCCATGAAAAGTGAGATGGACTCTTTACGAGTGAACGAGACTTGAACCCTTGGACCTAGACCTCCCAACTGTTCCATAGTTGAGTGTAAGTGGTTGTTTAAGGTTAAGGAAGAACCCAGTGATGTTAGGCTTAAGGCTAAGTTGGTTGCGAAAGGGTTTACTCAAAAAGAGGAGGTAGATTATGCAGAAATCTTTGCTCCTGTTGTTAAATTCACCACTATTTGTATGATGCTTGCTTTAGTTGCTCACCATGACTGGGAAATGAAACAAATGGATGTACTACCGCATTTTTGCATGGTGAATTGGACAAAACAATTTATATGACCCAGCCTGAGGGCTTTGTGGATCCCAAGAGAAGTGAGCATGTCTGTTTGCTTAGGAAGGCTTTGTATGTCATGAAGCAATCCCCTAGGCAGTAGAACATCAAATTTGATAAATGCATAATATCTTTGAAGTTCCAAAAAACTGTTTGTGATCATTGCCTATATTTCAAAAATACTTCTTCTGTGCTTGTATTTTTGTTACTCTATGTGGATGACATGCTGATAATTAGTCCTTCTATGAATGCTATTAAAGATGTGCAAAAATGTCTTTGTGCGAATTTTGCCATGAAAGACCTAGGTGATGCTAAGAGGATCCTAGGCATAAACATTGTTAGGGATAGGAGTAAGCGTACTCTTACTTTGAATCAGATTTCTTACATAGAAAAGATTTTGAGTAATTCAATATGTTATCTGCTTCTCCTGTTAATGTCCCTATGGCATCTCACTTTGTGTTAAATAAGGACCAGTCTCCCAAGACTGCTCCTGAAATTGAGAAAATGAAATATGTGCCCTATTCCAGTGCAATAGGGTCGGTTATGTATCTTATGGTTAGCACTAGACCTGATATTGCATATGTGGTTAGTTGCTTGAGTAGATATATGTCCAACCCCGGTTTGTCCCATTGGAATGCTCTTAAGTGGTTGCTTAGATATTTGATATCTACAGGAGCATGGATTAATTTTCTCTAAGTGTGCTAGTGGTATTGAATTGATTGGTTATGTTGATTCTAACTATGCGAATGATAGAGATAACATGAAGTCGACCACTTCTTATGTTTTTACTTTGTGTGGCTCTTGCATTAGTTGGAAGTCTCAACTGCAACCTATTGTGGCCCTTTCTACCACTGAGCCTGAGTATGTTGCAGCCACAGAAGCGTTTAAGGAAGTCATCTGGCTCAAACGCCTTGTCTCCGAAATTGGGTTTCTGAAACAGGGAGTTACCATTTTCTCGGATAGCCAATCGGCTATCCAACTTTGCAAAAATCCTGTATTTCATGATAGAACTAAGCATATTGATGTTAGGTTCCATTTCATACGTGATATTGTTGATGCAGGTGGAGTCAAGTTGTGCAAGATCCCGTCTGAGTTTAACCCCGCGGATATGGGTACCAAGTGTCTTTCTGCTGAGAAGCACTTGTCCTGTAAACGTGTGTTAAACTTTGACTGTGGATAACTGTGGGTTGCGTAATAAAGTGTTTGCCCGTTTTGTCTTTTGATATTCCGGGTAACCCGGCGATGATGACTCTTGTCACAACCTTGTATTGTTACTCTACACCACTTAGGACCAATAAGGTGGAGAATGTTGGAGGTATTGGTCCTATCAAGGCCTTCCTTCCACTTTATTAGCTAAGGCTTGTTCCCTATTAATTTACTCCCTCTTTGACACCTTTTACCTTGGTATATTACCTGATCAATTATATACCTGGAATCTGCCCCATTGCTTCTGTCCGCTGCACCCTATTTTTTGGCTTGGCTTTCACCCGTGACGTTATCTTGCCTCACCCGTGATTGTACTTGTTGTTTGCCCGTGACTTCTCAATAGGCTGGCAGCCTATTATAAAGTCAACTCCACTCCTTCTTTGTGAGATAAGCCTGCAAGAGAAATAAACCTGGAGCAGTGTCTTCCTTCTTCCTCCTTGTGTGAGTTCCTTTGTGGTTAGAAGAAGAGACTAAGAAAATAGGTGTGCTATAGCCTCCCCTAGAGTGGTGTATGTGAGTATTGTGTGTAGAAAGACCTGAGCCGGAGACGGAAAAGATCCTTACAATATTGACCCATTAACAGTAAACGTTGGAGGTCTCCTTTTGCCTTTTTTTCCATTTGTATTTGATGTGGATAGAAAGTATCCTATTTATTTGACATTTGGCAAAATTTAACAAATGTGAAAAGAAGAGCATTAGAGATGCTCTTAATGCTACTCTTTTGACATAACAAAAAATTGCCACATCACCAATGTAAAAAGCGTGATTAATTTTTGTTCTCCAATGCATCGTTTTAAAAGTCCTTTTAATCTGATGTGGAGTCGACTCTTTCAACACCTCTGTTGGGATTCAGAAAGTATGTATAACACTGTGAGTGCTTAATTCTATGAGAAAATAGTGCTTGGTCTCCATAAAAAAGTGGCGTCAATTGTTTTTATTTATTATTTCATGGTCGCCGTATTTTTATTGCTTTAATAGAATCAGTCTCTGTATTTTTAAAAATAATATGTGGAGCCTTTAACGAATTTAAGCACTATTGGTTTATTATTAAAACAATTTCATGGTCACCGAGTCACCGATTTTCATTGATATTGTTACAAGATAATTCCAAAAAAGAGTACAGATGTTGGAATTAATTATCGTTTCATGCTAGAAGAATGAATAATCAAATAAGGTGGAATTAAATACCTTGTGAACAAATATATCCAATTGGAAATAGAGCAAAAAACTTTTTTGGGTGATCTGCCCGTGCAGGATTTATTTTTTATTTATATACAGAGTAATTTTTTTGGCAACGATGATTTATATGTAGTGGTTTGTTTCGATAATAAATGACAAGCGGATAATATTTAATGTATAACATTATGCATTGGACATCTCTTGTTTATTTCTTTTAGTGTGTTCTGTGTGTATTTAAGTGACATTTGGCAAAATTTATCTTTATTCAAAAGAATAGCATTGGAGATACTCTAACACACCAAAGTATACGAAGTATCTTGTGATCTGATCGCATCACTGTAACACTTCCAAAGAGGAGGTCACAAGTTCGAATCTCATCTCAGTTCAAGAATGTTAGCTTTAACCGAACAGATACTATAATTGGTTAGAAAGATTTGTCCGGAAAAAAACACCAAAGTATAAGTAGAAGAAACTTTTTTTTTACACATTTGCAATTTCGCACTACTGTTCGACATATTCTCTATTTGATCACCTAATTTGACTCGGCTTCTAGGCTTCTAGCCCTGCTTTCTGGTATTTAGCAATTATAAATAACTTCTAATTTATTTAATAACTCCGTACTAGATATAAAAAAAATAGGACTCTGTATAAAGATTTGAACACAAGGATATGAACTTAAAAAGATCACCAACGAGCATGAGAAAATAAGCAACTTAAAAAAAAATTATATGCTAGCAAATATCAACTAGGACAAGTAAAACAAGTACACCAAACTCCACAATTTAATAAAATTGAACTCATTTGCTAAAGATAGCTCATAATAATTTCAAATGGAGGAATTCTCAACCTGCCATTCTTACGTTCAACTCTCTAGTCATAGTCAAGAAAAAAAGTTGAGTTGAGTCTTAATTCCATTCACTAATGGGATTTGCGTATGCATCTTCTTGTTCTCATGCTGTCTGATAGTGACTGTAAAATTTCTCACCACATTAATATCCACCTAAAAATAGATCATCTTTTACTGCATATTTTTTTCCACTAAAGTACCATCTAATTGCATTTATGTTGAGCTTAACCCCACGTCCCCACTTAATCCTAATCTAAAAGCTAGATTCCACTAATCCACTCCATCACTAGTATAGCAGCCAGAATCTAGCACCTTGTGCAACATTGAACAATGACATTTGCATCTCTTATTGCTAAAAACAAGAGCTACAAATTCACTTTTTGTAGTCTTTAGACCACATTGGGAATAACTAGCCCAAATATAGAAAAAGGGACCCGCACCCAGACAATGCAGGTCAAATAAAATGGCTTTGTTTCCACTTCTGAATGGTTCAGGTTATTATGAGAGTTGCTTGAGGTCCGAATTTCCAACAACATACTGATACTATCCAACTGAAGGCACTTGAGTTGAACAATGTTGGGGCACAAATCATCTGCAATATAGATTTGACCTTTAATCAATGATACATTGCTATCTTTATACACATCTGTCCCTCTAAACTTTACCACATTGACTAACACATGAATTAACAAACGCAGAAATGAATAATTGTGAGAGAAATGATGTATATCACAAATTTCTTTCTTTAAAGACAAAGTGACAGATTTTAAGATGTCTGGGATGTTTTTTTTTTTTGGGAAAGTCTAGTGGGACAGAAGTATTTTACTAGCACATAATAGGAAATTAAAAGAACAAATGAAAGAGAGCAAAGTTTGTCTAGAGGACAATTCCATGCTAACTCCAAGGCTCTGTATGAAACAAGGAAAATTCTAAGTAGAGGTGAAGATATGGGAGAAATTTGGAAAGGGGAAATATTGAGGAAAATAAAAGAGTCGAACTCAATATATTTATTTTTAGTATTTGATCTCGTTACATTTTATTTATTCATTTCTATTTAATAAATGCTAACTGCTAAGCAATCAAAGCATATGAAAAAATTAAACCTAATTTTCCTTTGCTCTTTCTCAGTTAAAATTGAATAATAAAATAATATTCCTAAACATTTCTTTCCTGTAGTGTTTTCTGCGCTCCAAACATAGCCTAGTATAATCAAACCCTTGATGGAAGTTTATGAAAAATGAATGTTAATTGTTAACTACTAGTACAAAATAAAATGATCAAGACATTGTAATGATTTGAATATTGTGTTGCAAATATGAAACATGAAACGATAACAGCCACATAAATCCAATCTTAGTTACAATACATATATTTATTAATTGGATATCAATTACCAGAAGATAGACAAAATTTTCAGGAAAACCTTCGCAGATAACATATTCATGTTCAAGCTGTAATCGATATTTATCACAGGGAGTTCACAATATATTAAAGCTTTATGTTGGTTTTATTTTTAAATTTGAAAGGCCTCATAGCCGTACTCTGTAAGCAGAGGCAAAGATAGAATTGTCGTAAGGCCCTCACATTTCATAACTGTAACCCTGGGAGGGGAAAAGCTTCATATTTCAACCCATCTTTTTGTAGTTTATAAGAACTTGTACTTGTATACACTAGATAGGTAAAAAAGTTGGGAAGGGGAGCCACAGCCCCCCTCCAGCCTCAAGGCCCTCAACTGATTAGAAATTTAGAGGTATGTGTACAATAATTCTTAAGATGGGACAAAGAACTAATGCAACTACTATCCTCTACCATATTGTAAATTTCCTACTTTCCTTTTCCATTCGTCTCGAAATGTTGTGTTTACTTTCTAAATCGAACACAACTAATTTTTTACTTCTCCTATCTCCCCCTTTCTTGCTCTTACTTTTATGAAATATATTGACGCAATTGGTCCCTCTCTAGGGGAAATGTTAGTGACTTAATGAGTGAAGTACATTTTACTTATGAAACTAAAGCTGCACTAAAAGCAAGTGTCCTTGATGATTTGGAACATAGGGAGAAGATAATACATTGCTAATGTTCTACAATTAGCAAGGTGCAAAGGCAGTGGTGTCTTCTCTTACTACATAGCGCATAGCTCGCCTAGGGCGCTTAGGTCTTTCCTCACTCTCCATTTTATTTTGGTAATATAATAATAGCTCATATAAGTATAAAGAGTAAAGTTTTAGTCATGAATAATAAAATAATTAATTGAGCAATATAAATAAAACCAAGGTAGTCAAAGTTGTGAGGCACACTCAAAGTGCTAGGGCTCTCCAACGCCCAGGGAAGAGGAGCAAAAACAATCGCTTGCCTGACTAACGTCAGGCACATTGTTTAGAAAATACTGCATATACTATTCTAAAATTATCAAATATGATGTATATAACATCATAATGAACCAAATGCATTAAAAGGTCATATTTCTCAAAAATAAATTCATGACTTACCAAAGTAATGGTTCACAAAAACAAAAACAAAAAACAAATTCAGACTTCAAAGCTTAAATAATAAAACTAAAAAATAAAACATAATTACATCATGACCCAATTCTCCTTGTTAAAACTCTCAAGTCTCAACGACTATTCGCCATTAAAAGAGGAGTCAGATTTTTATCCATTATTTGATTTATATAATGGATAAAAAGAAGAAGACTTACTGTGTTTGTCTAATGAGTGCTTCTTACAAAGCTGTGCAGGTAGTGAGTAGGTATGTTTTTACTTGGACTGTTTTCATTCCCAGACCAGACCAGGATAGTTATAAAAATACACAAAGACCAAACATTACCAGACCATATCGGACCAGACCATATCAGACCAGATTAGCAAATTTCACTCCAAGTAAAAACATCCTAGAGCAGCGCACAGGAGAGTTGAAGTCATCACTTACTATGACTTAGGAGGGTTTAACGTCTGTGACTTAAAGGGTTTAATTTACAATGGTTTAACGTCGGATTTAACTTAGAGGGGTTTAACGTTGGTTTAACTTATATAGTTATATGGGCTTTATCTTATTAAAGTATGGGCTTATTATTTAAAATAGGCTCAAACATATATAAAAAAATAGGATGTCCCAGCTCAGGCGATTTCAGCGATCGCTTTATTTAGCTTCAGCGCTTCCGCACTTCATGCGCAAAAGATGAGCCTCAATCAGGTACCTGTGACGGGCAGCCTTAGAGGCACTAAGAGTAATATGCGCCTCACCTGATGCGCTTAAGCGCCGAGGGCTTGCTTTTTACTACACTGAATTAAACAAAAGGTTCATGATCTTTAGACATTGAGTTAGTTCATATACATTCAAAAGTTTTACTATTTTTATTGTCAAATAGTAAAATAAGTTTAATATAAATAGAACAATCAATGCTCAAACAATGCCTTTAAGTCTTTACGGAGATAATAAGTTGGACAGGAAATCAACTCGCCGTTCTTGACGCTTAGGCACCTGCTTAAGATCCTGCATAGCAGCCTTGGAGCCCACCTAGTCACCTTGGCGCTCGTTTATGCCGTCTAATTGGCTGACCGGTTTTTCTTACCGACTACGACAAAATCTAGGCATCCGGCCACCACCTAGCCAGTTTTTTACAACAGCGTACACAACCATCAAAAGTAGATGATCCTTATTCTTGCCTTACAGAAAATGAACTCTCAACACCTAGTTACCTGCATATCTATAAACCTATATACCAGGTCATTATCTATAATGAAAAATCAATTGCAGGTTTGAAAATGTTGAATTACTCCATTAGTGACTCTGCATTTTTAGCTGCTGCTGCTGCTTAACAATCAGAGCTGGGATATCATTTTATAATTTAATCATATTATAAAAGCATCTAATTAGTGAATAGCTCAATAAAATCAGTCATTGATGCTTAAGGACTGATTGAGAATGCCCCACCACATGGAACTGCATTCTTCACAAATTGCCTATGTTAAGTGCCACAGGGTACACAGCCCCAATCCATTATGGCCGACACTAAGAAACACAACAAAAGATGCACTTTTTTACTTGATTTTTTATTGGTACAGGAACAAAACTATTCAACAACAAAATTATGCCTTGATAATCAAGAGACAGTGCAACTTAACATACTAGCCAGACAATGACTCTACAATATCAAGGAAGCCAAAATTCACACAATGAATGATGGTGTTTCTCGCTGTCTTTGGTTAATTGAAGTACATATCTTAATAATAGACTTTTGCATATATGCATCACCCCCAACACATACCCAAAACAAATCACAGTATTTTAACAATCAAAATGTGAAAATTCTGTATTAGACCACCATAAATATCAATTCCATACAACTCAAGACCTGTGGTAACATGCAAATTAAGCAAGCAGTTACCATTAAAGAAACCAAGACTGACCTCATAGGTCTGTCATCTGAGCTTTTCCTTTGCAGAGCTCTTTCTTGCTGCCTCCTGAACCTTCTCAATGTATCCTTCGATTGGAGGGGTCAGTGTTGCCATAAACCGGTTCATGGGAAATGGAGTTAAGTCTGGAACCAAAGCAGCAGCTTTTAGATCATCTGGCAATGCTTCAATAGCCTCTTTCTTCAACCTCAACAGTGTTGACTCAGAAGCCTGCCTTGCCCTATGCTTCCTCATCATTACCCTACTATACTCCTTTGCTAGCCTTCGCCCATCCTCAACTGTCAGATCATACTTTGGTATCTTCTCAGCGTCAACAAGGCCCAAAGAGATCAAGTCCAAACCCGGAGAACCAATCATCCAAGGGGATTCAAACTCCTTCCCCATCTTCTTCAACTTCTTCTTCTCATCTTCACGGGCCTTGGAAATTATGCCCATTTTCTCTCTTTCTGCCTCTCGGGCCAGCTCTTTCGGCTTCAAAAAACGAAGGGGCGGAGTAGAGCTCAAACACTCCTCAAGCATTTCATCAAACTCGCTTTTTCTTCTAGGAGCTTCTTTTGGTGTAACTTCTGAACCCTTTTTAGTAGAAATTTTGGTTCTCTTCAAGGTTTGTCCTGCCTTCAATTTGCCCTTACCCTTTGCTGTTCTGCTCACTGTGCATCGCTGCAGAAATTGGTGGCTCAGAGCTTTGAGAGATGTTGGGGTTGAAGAACTCAGATAGTTGATTTGGCTAACTCTTCGGATCATCTTGTTATCCTCAGCTGCCTAAAACCTACTCAAAGATTTAAAAGACAACATATCTTCATTTTACTCGAATGAATAAGCCCTGAGCATAGCACCCTACACCCTTTGTCCCAGTTTACTGTTCACAGACACAGTCTGCTTGTGTACTTTTGGAATATGTACATTTGAATTATAAACACCAATATATATTATCAGAAAATTTTAACTTTATCTTCAATAAAACATCGTAAACTGCACAAGGAAACTGAAATAGGTCGGAGGGAGTACTAAATAAAAGGTAAATTAAAAGAAACAATAAATATGCAATAATGCAAACACGATATGTTTCATCTATCAATCTATAAATAACAAGGAAGATTGCTTTGCCAATCTTCCCGCAAGAACAGAAGTGACAATAATAAAGATATGAGATAATGAGATAGCAGTCTAGCACTCACATAGATGCACCTATGTGAAATTGTGAATCACTAAAGTACCTGCCAAATCTTATAAACTTTATTTTATTTTTAGTCTTTTATTATTTCCAATTAAAAGTACCGTGTGCGATGTGCATCGCCGGTCCGGTCTGTTTCAAAGACTCGGGGCAGGTAATTTATAATGGGCTTAATCTTTTTCAACAATGTAAAAAAAATACTATCTAAACTAACATGTATAATAATAATATTTCAAGGCCTTATAGAAAAATACTTTTTTAATTCGTTAAATTAACCAAAGTGGAACCGCAGTTACAAAGTAATTTGATCCATCCAAATCACTTTTTAGTTACTTACTAGCAATATTATCAACGCCTAAATTGTTCCCTCCTATGAATCCTATGATATATCGTTCTCAACCGTGCCATTTCGGCAGTGAAATCATTCTTCTCCTCTGAGTTCCCTTTTGACTTATGGCCGTTTTCCCTAATCTTCACCTCTCTTCTTTCTCCAATCCAAATTCAACCATTTTATTACACCTTTAAATTATTTCAACTTACAAATTTTATTATAATTCAAAAATTTACCAAACAAAGTATAATGCTAAGTTGCTAACACAAAATCCAAATTTAATTGCAAAAGAGCACTTCAAATTCAAAAAGTAACAACTATGAACTAATTGCTCTCAAACGACTAATCAACTAACCGCAACATCAACAAGGACAGGACTAATTAATAAAAAACAAATTAACAATCAAAAATAAAATTTAAATATTACCCATGTGTTGCGCCACAAATATACATAAAATCCAATAAATTAACGCTTTACTTTCAAGTGGTATAAATTTAAAGTATCATTCGATGTTATTTTTATTTGGTTTGAATGTAAAAATCCAAATGCCTTAATCAAAAGTTTGAGACTTGGTGGGCGGATAGAGATTATATGTAATCAACAGACAACAAATCATTAATTCAAGTAAATCAACCAATCAGTAATCAATAGCAGATTAGCAGAATACCAGGAAGCACTGAAGGGCAGGGGGCAAAGGGGCGAAAGGGCTGGGATGCTGGGAAGAATCGGAATCGCAGGTGGCAGGTCAACTGAGAAGGGGCAGGGAAGAGCGCCGGTCGGGAGGCGGCCAAGCGTCGGAGGCTCGCAGCCGTCGCTGCGTCGGTGTGAGAGTATGAGACGATGAGTTGGCTGTGGCCTGTGGGCGTTCTGCAACACTGCACTTCTGCGCAGGGCTTCTGCGTTCGTTGCATTCGGAGGCTGTTTGGGCCGGGTAAAAATGTAGATTAGGGCTGATAAAACGGCCTAAAGGAATTTCAATTTTTGGGCCTAGGCCCCGCCAGTAGTGGTGTTTCAGATTTTGATTTTTTTCATTACTAGCGTCATACCTGTGCGAACGTGATAAAAAAAATATATATTTTTATTTATGACGTAATGTAAAAAAAATTAATTAAAATAATGTCTAGAAAAATATGATTCTATTAGTGGCTAAAGTAGTAATGAAATCATAGTAACTTGTGTTCAGTTTTTAAATGTAAGTTACCATGACACTATTTTGTAGTAATTATTGTTCGTATATGTGTAATATTAATGTAAGAATGTAAACCACATTTATTATAAGAACATTGAAATACTTGTATGATAAAATGGAAAGAAACATTTAAAAGTGTGTAGTAAGTGCATACATAAAGCAAATAAATGTACTTCTTCTGTCCCATAAAATTCTTTCGTCATTTTGGGATATCCCAAAAATTCTTCTCACTTACATTTTTTAACAGTTTTGTGTGACTAACATTCATTTACCTTTTTTTTACTTAACTAAAATTGTACATTTCCACTTCATTCTCACTTTCTTAATAATCTTGCCAAGTCAAAATGAGAATTATTTTTTGGGAGAGGGAGTATATTATAGAGCAAATTGCAATTTTTTAAAAACTTCCAGTTATATAAAATTTATTGTGGAATTATTTGAGATACCATCATTATTGCTTATCTTTTAATCATTCACACTTGGTAGCAATTGATCGCAACAAAATATACAAGTATGATTTTTTCAAGAATAACTAATCATAACTCATTAGATACTGCTGTAAGATTATTTTTTTGCGTTGAAACCTAAAAAGTATTCTAACCTACTATTCTAACAAATAGACAAATAGTACTCCGTAGTAGTTTATGACAACAACTAAAAACAAATAGTTCTCCCCAGTATTTTTTGCTGAAATGTCACTAATTTTGCAGATAATTTGTTTTGATCATTTTGTAGGTCACTTGTTTGAAAATTAAGTAATATTTCAAAAAAAATCAAATTGAGTAAAAACAAATGCATTTTCGAGTGTACCTTCATCTCGATCATTCTGCCAGTTGTTTCCAATAATCTTATTCCCAGGCCCCAGCAAAAATGATTGTATTGTGAGATACTCCCTCCGTCCCCTTTTAAATGAGACGGGAGATGGTGGCACGGGTTTTAAGAAAGGTGAGTTTGTGTGGTTGATATTAATTGATAAAGTAAGAATAAAGTAAGAATGATTTTGAGCCACACAAAGTATACCAAATAAGGTATGAGACAATTAAATAGGGACATCCCAATATGATAAAACAGGACATTTAAAAGGGGACGGGGGGAGTATACTTTAACTTGGTATTTCTTTTTACATTGCAGGTCTGATTAACCAAAATTGTTTATACTTTGTAATTATTATATGTAAAATTCATAGGTTCGGGCACCTCAATAATTAAAGTGCCCGATTGGGTAATATTCATAAGTGAAATGTAATCCTTAGTTAATTTAGAATAGGGTTATAAGGTTGAGAATAGGGAATGCAGGGTCCTATGTTTTCAGAGCTAAAAACCCAGGTATGATCATCACTTCATTTCATTTTCATTTACCCCAATGTCGCAAAGGCTCCCACCTACGGTGGGGTAAGGGGGGTCGGATGTACGCAATCTTACCCCTTAATTTAACCCAGGTATGATCCTTAATTTATATACTCCATAGTTATTTCATATCTCTTACCTTTCACATTAAATAGTGTCGGGTAGAAGATTTCCTTAAAACGAACTTGCTCAACTTCTAATGTTTCAACTCAATCTGCATATTTTTTTATATATTACTCCCTCCGTCCCCCTAAGTTTGTCCCGTTTTACCTTTTTCGTCCGTCCCACTAAGTTTGTCTCATACCATATTTGGTAATATTTGAGTGGTTAGAATTCATTCTTACTTTATTCACACTTTATCAATTCAATATCAACCACACAATTCTACTTTTTCTTAAAAACCACACCACACCCCTTTGTCCCAAACTTAGGGGGACGGAGGTAGTAATATTTTTAATTATATATTCTAATTTCTACTCCATAAGAATAGCTTAGTTATAGACACAAGTAGGGGAAATTTCCTAAAGGGTTACTTTTGGAATTTCATCATCCGTAAAAGTCTCTTTGGCTCCAGTAGGCCATCCTTATCGTGGGCATGACTGAACTATTGAAGTAAGATCAATCTGCAGCATCTGCTCAGCTTCCATTGTTTATCTTTTTCATTTCCCATAGGCCATAGTTAGATCACAAATACTTTCCATATCCTAAAACGTTAATTATGGTAAATTGAACATTATGTGTGATAGATGCAAAACAACAATCGTTCTACTATAATCCCAAAAAGCAGTAAAGTGTACCTCATAATCATTCCAAATAGTTTGTATAATTCTTGTCGAACGCTAGCAAATCATAAGAACGGATAAGCCTCGTTCTCAGTCCTCTGCTTTTCTTGAATGAGGCTGAGCTCAAAGATTTCGTTGAAGAACATGTTCCTGTTGTAGTCACTACAAAAAAATATCGAAATAGGCACGGACTTGGTACGGATTGGGCGAGTTTGGCACGGACTATAACTTATTTTTGGCACAGCGTCGTGCCAAATAGCTGGTGACAAAACGACTTTGGCACGGAATTTGGCACGGATTTAACACATCTGTGTCAAATCCGTGTCAAATACCCTATGAATTTTGACAAATCCGTGCCAAAGCTACGTGCCAAAATCGTTGTTTTTTTGTAGTGAGTGGAAACTCTGGAAGACTGGAAACAAAACAATTCCTTTTTATTAGAACCCCAATTAATAAATTGTAGAAGCGAATGAGTAAAATCGATAGAAATAGAATTTGGATAGAAATCACTTTCACAGTTACTACGTACGACTTATGATCGGGCATGCATGTATCATTAGATTCTGAAGTTGCTGTTATTTATACCACCTCAGGAAGTGGTTATCTAACATTGAGTGGGCTAGAACGTGGAAATGTGATTTCCAGAACTCTCAATGGAACTGTTTTGTTAATTCCAGTCGGCCACCTGTCATAGAAACTGTATTTAAGATTTTAAGCATGTGATACGTGATTGGACCCTATATTGTAGGCACATTTTATACAATGATGTGGCTGACACTATTACAGGCGGGAACAGTTATCTCACTTATATGCCATACGATCCCCTTTTTATATGTATAAAGATTCTTTTTTTTGTTGATAGATTCATTATTCTAAAATTGATAAATGATAAACATTTTTTTTAAAATATAAATGATAAACATCTAAAATTAAAAGTTTTGTTAAATAGCTGGATAATTGAAAATGACTGTTTTTGTTTGATAATATCTCATAAGGAAGGAACTTGTTGAGCATTTTCGAAACTTTGAGTTTTCTTAATCTCTACACAATAATAAGGATGAATGATGGTAGGGTTACTGTGGGTATAAAAAATTTGTTAGCTGTATATTGATGCTTTAGGAAGATGCACGTTGTGTTTAAGTCATTGTACTCTGTCTTGTTCGTTTATCCGTCAACAAATGGTGCTGTTAGTGTCTTAGTGCAGCCTTATTCACCCGGTGAGTAAGCTATGTGTCTCGCCGTCTCCCTACACGTCCCAACTTCCCAGTTGAAATGGTTAGGGTTAGGTTAGATAGAATGTTGCTGAGATCCGCCGCCCAGCTCAGAGGAAACATCGACGCTATAGTTCTTCACCCGACTCCATTCCCATCAAACCGTCATCTTCTCTCATGTGTAAGTTATTATTTTAATTCAGCACCCATTAATAGCTATTATATTCCAGTAGCTAACCATGGATTTAGATTGGAAACAAAAAGGTGGTGGCGGCATAACCATCACTTGCACCAAATTGCTTAACTGACGAAAGGGGAAAGGGAGGAATCGTGTTCAACTAGAACACGCTATTGATTGGGTTTGGAAAGGTGAGCAGGTTCTCTTTTCTAAACAGGGATTGAGATCTTTTTCTAAAGAAGTTATGATTTCTCCTTCATTTGATCTGAGGCTTTCTTACTTTATTTATTTAAGCTGTTTTTCAAAAGGGTCAAATGAATAGCCTAAATGGCAGCTTTCTAATTGTTCTCAGTTCTCACAGTTGCTTTTGTATGTAGTGCATCCATATCACTATTCGTTCATTCCAAAAAAAAAATACATCTACTTAATGAGAAATTGAAATGATTAACTGTAACTAAATGTACTTGGCTCAGGTAAGTTTACTGTGAAAAGGAGGGGATGTGACACAACTATGTTAATAAGCTATTGTTCTTATGAAAATAAATATCGTTTGACTTCTAAAATCTTAGGTATTTCTATCACAACTTGAAAATGGAGTGATTAGGTGTTCAGGCAGCTTACTTAGACATAATGAATCCTTGAACTAAGCTAAACTTACACTATTATCCTTTACTGGGAGAGGGGCGGGCGGGGGGGGGGGGGGGGGTCATTGGCTGCTTGTTGGTGAAAAATATTACAACCTCTAGCCATATTCACACTATCATATTTTTTAATTGCACTCTTTATTTTGCTTGTTTCTTTTCTTTCCCAATACTAATCTTGTTTTTTACTCTTGTATAGGTTATGAATTCTTAAGTAATTAATGTAATCAGGTGCTAGTAAGAGGAGTTGGATCTGACAAAGCATTACTCTCAGTAGAAAGCAAGGATTCTTTGGAAGAGGCTGAGCCACTTTGCTTTGATGTTTGGACACTTTCCCCAATTTGAGGTGATTGATGTTTGCCAATATTTTTCAAATGAAGAGGTATTTTTTATTTTTATGGTATCCCTGATTGGCTAATTCTGATATTATTAACATTGTTCTCTAGAGATGGGTATTTTAATTGGATTATCTATTGATAGCTGATTTATGAGCACTTGAAGTGCAAGATAATATACAACTATTAATCTAAAAAATAAACATCAGAGTCCCAAACATCCGTACTACTTTACGCTAATTCCCTTAAA